TAGGGCAGGTGTTCCTGTTCTCATATAAAGAGGGGGAAAGTGATTTTTAGATTCAATAACGTGCCCACAGTACTAAGTAATAGTTCTGGAATGGAAATCCTAGATTGACTTCCACTCTTTTTGGGCCTTTCCTTTATCTACCCTTCAACAGGTCTCAAATTCTCCCCAAGGTCCTACTCTCTCTCATCCCATACACTTTATCTCATGCTTGTATTAGATAACAGAATTTTTGAAATTGCCACATGCAAAGCTGAAGACTAGATCCAAATCATGGTGACACCACAAGGCACAGACACTCCTTCAGCAGCTGGGAGTAATATTAGTCACCTTTATACAAATCAGAAAGAAATTAATTAATCTTCAAGTGTTAGCTATAGCATGAAAGCTTTTGACAGTAAAAATATAGGTGGCAGAGACTCATAGATCCTGATGTGGAATTCTAGTACCCACTGAGCCGAACTCTCAAAATGATATCAAGTTTCTTCCTTGTATCATTTTAGGTTTTATGGATAGAAACTGTAGATTTTTAATAAGTCAAACTTAGGTGGATAGCTTACCTTGAAGTTTGAAGGCACCCCGCCAACATAAAAGACAGTGTCTTCAGGGTCCAGATCCAGCAGGGAGTCAGCTCCGGTGAACTCCCCCTTTTTAATAAACTTTTCCTCTGCTGTACTACTCAGACTTGGGACTGTCAAAAATACCTTGCCATGTTTCCCTACCCTGTTGAGAGAAGGAATATTCACTCTTTCTTAGCCTGATAATTTGTAGGAAATAGGTTCTTAAGGTCAAAAATGTTAATGTTCCTTCATCACAAAATTAGTGATTTGATTTTGTTACATTAAGAAATACCTATAGGGCTGGGGATGTGGCTCAAGCGGTAGCGTGCTCGCCTGGCATGCGTGTGGCCCGGGTTCGATCCTCAGCACCACATACAAACAAAGATGTTGTGTCCGCCAAAAAACTAAAAATAAATATTAAAAAAAAAATTCTCTCTCTCTCTTAAAAAAAAAGAAAAGAAAAGAAACACCTATAGACTATTAACTATTAAGGGGAAGGGGAAAAAGACATTACATTCTTGGGATTATCTCAGGTTAAAAATAATAATAATCAGATTACTATTTGGAAACAGTGACCATTTTTTCTAATCTTTTATTGTCCATAAGGTGTTTGGGACAGAGTATAGAAATAATGAAAGAAAAATGAGCAAAAATCAAAAGGAATAAAATGCTACTTATAACATCCATAGGAAGCCTGTGTGAGTATATTCAACAGATTTCTTATGAAATGTTTATATAAGCTGTGTGTCATGGGTTCATTTTACCTTTCGATCTTGACAATGCTGAAGTAAGAAGGCCAGGAACTGACGGGCTTGGAGTCAAGGGGAATCTCCACATCCTTAGCTCCCAAGTTGTAAACGTACACCAGGTTATCATTTTTTATTGCAAGACCCATATACTCTTTTTTGGCCTGAAATGTAAATAAGTCACTTAAATAAAATTTATATAAATGAGTATTAGCAATTTTCATTTTTTAAAAGCACAATCAGCAACCCTAATACTTTGGCATACACAGCAACTTCTGGTCGGAATTAATCAGCCAAAGCTTCTGCTAGACTGGGCATCAGCTCTTCTCAACCCAGCTTTCCTGTGGCTGTGTCAGAGATTGCTGTCCCTGTGCTTGCTCTAAGTACATCCTGGACAGGAAGGAAAGGAACTGCATGCTTGTGGAGATTTGATGGCTTCCAGGAGTGTACTAATGTTGTCAGGCTAATCAGGGATATGATGCATCCTGACAATGCCGATTGCTATATGTCTACAAACAGGATTAAGCAGCAAGCATAGTTTGCTGTTATTCAAAAAGCCTTTGAAATGCTTGGTTCAGACTTGTCAGTAATGTGATGCTGAAAGAAAACAATCCCAGAAATATCCCTTGTAGTGAAGGAACCACTTTGCTCTTAAATCAGTACTTCAATCCTGCCTTAAAATATTTTCTACTTTTTGAGTTACCTGTCTGTGAATTTCTACCCCCGAGGTAGCTTTGTTTTAGTCAGAGAAAAAGCAATTTTCTTTTTCCATATTATCCCCTCCTCATGCTCTTACATTTTTGCTTCCAAGATACAGAATAAACTGATCTGTGGTTCCAGACAGTTCTGGCTGCTTCATGGGAGGCTTCATGTACAGGCTTAGGGATGTGAAGGCCTTTAAGTCATCCACACTGGCTTTGGGGTGCACTTCCACAGCTGACTGGCCATCGAACATCATGGAGACTTGAATCTGGAGTTACAAAATTGTTCTGTTAAAAGTACTCTGCAGAAATGGGCAGAAAGCTTTTCCTTGGTCTTCCCTCATTTCTGATAGAGCCTTACAAGACTCCTAAAATGTATTCAAGAATTATTTATACGTGTTAACTAGTCTTGGGTACCAAGAACTTCTTCCCAGGTCACCATAAAAGGAGTATGGGGTGAGGCTGTGAGGCAACACCCTTGACTGCACTTGCACAGTCTAGAAGAGTCTAGACACAGCTTCTCAGGTTTGCAGCCTGGCTGTGCCACTAATCATGAACATTAATCATGAACGAGTTTAGTTAACTCTCAGTTTTTCATCTGTCAAGTAAGGATAATAAATCTGCTGTAAGAATGATATTATATATGTTGCAGTCCCTGATTCTATCAGTATGCTACTGGTAATGACAAATTCCTTACATGTTTCTTCTACTGATTCTTGGAAAGGCATAACAACAAAGCACTGTTTCAGCTCATTTCTAAGAGGCCCTAGTGATATGCTAAACTGATCTGATTCATAGGGGATTTTTGAAGTATTCAGAAATGGATGGACTGTGTATACTCATGCCATTTGTATAAATATTTCTGAATAATTAGATGTGTCTACCTCAGTTAACATTGATTTGGCTGATGTTGATAGTATCAGAATCTCTTCCTAAGTGTCTAGAATATAGCTGTTCTATGTTGCCAGTTGAGTAAAGATGAATACGTCTTAACATACTATCATGTGGAGTTGAGGTCTTTTTGTAAAAATGGAGAGTCTGAGCAGGAGATGTGTCTATAGAAAAAACCCCTCACTTTGGAGAATGGGTAGGTTCCCAAGGGTAAGGCCCAGATTCTCTTTAGAAAATGGTTTTAGGTAATTAAGACCCCAAGGTTATCCTCCATGGATATAGTGTTATGAGAAATCACTCTCAGAAACCTAGCTTTTAAAATGCCATTTCTTAATGTACATTTAAGATAAACTTTCTTTGAAGTGTTCACTGGGATATCCAAATAAGATAATTTATGGTATAAGACTATTTATCACTTATCATTTAAAATTTGAATATATTTACCAAGAATAATCTTTATCATTATAAAATACTTGATTCCTTGTTCTTCTTTCTGTCAGTAATTAGGACCTATAGCCTTTTGAAGCCAGTTTTTAATTGAGAAGTAAAAATCATATAATTTGGTTGTAAAGAATAAGGCTGGTCTATAGATCAATTAAAAAAATAAAAACAAAAAAAGGGTCCAAAAATGAATGCTACTTTGTCACACTGAATACATTAATTGTCACATGGAGATGTGTCCCTACCAACACTGGCTTTAGTTATCTGCTTGCTAGATTGCTTCTGTGAAAGTATCTCAGAAGAGGGTCCCCGAGTTTCTTCCTCTTAGCTGGTATTGTATGTGATTCCTCAGTTAAGCCTGCAGAGTGGGCAATAAATGCTTCACATAATCTATGTTGTACTAGAGAATTTCTTGAAGAGGTAGGACAGATGGGCAAGACTATCCCATATGCTAATTGCACTAAAGGGCTGTTAAAATAACAAATGATGATGATATTAAATTGAGTATTTTTTTAATTGGGGCTTTCTTGATTTGTAATATCAGATTTGTCAAACTCTGCGGTTCTTAATCCTGGCTACAGATTTAGAAAAACCCTAGAAGCTTTAAAAAAATACACGTGTTGAGCCCTTCATCTAGAGATCCTGATATATTGTTCTGAGGTTAAGATGAGGAATTGGCTTATTTTTCAATGGGATTCTAATGAACAAATGGGACTGAGACCTACTGAGCTGGATAATATAATAGGAAGGTTCCAGACCCTGGATCAGCATCACAATCTCATTATCACCAAGTGACTGATGACTCCTTTCCTAAGTTACCTTGCTGGCGACACTCCTGGTCTGAGCAATGAGCTCTCGGATCCTCTGGATGCTGGCAGAAACATTGCTTACAGGGCGCTTCTGCTCAACTGTACGAAGCTGATCCAGGAGCTGAGGGACGACCTCTGTCAGATTTCTTACTGCAACAATAAAAGTTAATCACTTGAGTGAATGTCTCAATATTAGGTATATTTCAGGAATCAAGTGAAGAGACAGCACTGATTACCTCTGGTAGATCTATAACAAATTATTTTTTAAAAATATTTTTTATAGTAGATGGGCATAATACCTTTATTTTATTTTTCTGTGGTGCTCAGGATAGAACCCAGTAACTCATGCATGCTAGGTGAGCGCTCCATCAACTGAGCTATAACCCCAGCCCTATAACAAATTATTTTTAATCCTACCAAATTTATAGTAAATCCCAAAGCATAATCTGTTTTTATCTTGTCACATTTGTAGTACATAGTCTATAAATGTGGAACATGCTGACATATAATGTAAATTCCTAAAGAGGAGGACCCATGACAAACATACTAAAGTTCCTTTAATCATACAGCACAGGTTCTGCTTGCATTTCTAATATAACTTGATACGACTGAAGAAAAGAATTTTCATGAGGTAAAAGGAGGTAAAAAGGCTGTTTTCCAGGATGTCTGTGCATATATCACAGTGCTACTCTACTGTCCTGCAGAGGCAGAAATGAACAGAGGAAGCTAGGTAGCACCCAGAAAATGGCAGCTGTGCCAAGTTGAGTGTGGGCAGCTATGGTCTCTAGGCCCAGACAAGGGAGATTCTGCAAGCAGACCTTACTGATCTTTTTTTTTTTTTTTTTGTCTTTCTAGGCCTGGAGCTCCTGGAGAACAAAATAACATCTGGTGTGGGGGACAGCAAAAGAGGACTTGGCTGGGATGGAGTACACAATCTCCTAGATCTAGCCTAGTGTGGCTGTGCTTCCTCCATGGGGGCCTGTGACTGATCATATGCAGTTTTTTTCCTCCCTTGGAATGCATAATGCACACATAGAAAAGAGCACAAGTCACAAGGATGCAACTTGATGAGAGAAACCTAAACTACAGAAGATGGTACTACTTTTTTCAAATTTTCAGCCACTGAACAGTGATTCTTAAAGTATGGTCAAATATCATCAGCCAGTATCATCAGCTTCAAAAGGAACTTACTGGAAATGCAAATTCTTTGACCCATCCCAAACCTGCTGAATGAGGAATTCTGGGAGTAGGGTCCAGCAACCTGGGTTTAACAAGCCTCCAGGGGATTCTGATGCACACTAGTATTTGAGAACCACTGGACCAGAGAATGAATATTTTCTTGTGTAGTCTCCTGCCTAAGGGCAGGACCGTGGTCACTGAGCATTAGCGGTAGGGCAAGAGCAAGCTTCTGACTAGAGCCAAACTAAATTCAGATTGAGGAGATATGTCAATGCAGGTTAAGGAAACATCACTTCTTTGTACTTTGGACACAAGGTGTTTCTCCAGGATAAGGAATAAAATAATAGCAATTCTCAGTTTATTGTGTTGATTAATATTTGTTGTTTGGATCACTGACCATAACAGTCATTTTATAGCATAAAAATCTTTAAAAATTAAAAATAATAAAGTATATGAAAGTGTTATATTAAATTGTGGTTGTAGAATTCTATATAAGACAGGGTACCCCCCAATTCTCTCAGAAAAAGAGAGCTAACTTATAGTAGAGTCTTTAAAAAGTCTCTTATATTATTGTAAGCCATTTCATTCACTTTGTTTTGAACCACAAATAGCTATTTGAGGAAAACATAGTATTCTGAACCAATTTCAATTAGAATTAGTTCTGGATGCTTATTGGAATCACATGATAGGACTGATGAAAATGGAGAAAAATTAACACAGAACAAATATTCCTGAAACAATATTTTGAGAAAAATGTAACGAAAGATTAAAATTGAAAAGCAAGTAAATGAGTGGTCACATGGAAGAACTCATGAATATATACTGAAATATGATATAAAAGAGCCATCTTTCTGTTATAGTAATGGGTATTTGTAAATTGTGATAACATTTCTAGTGATGGACAGATCTGACATGAATTTCTAAGGTTGTTTCTAATTTAGATTCAAACATAGGAAAAAAGAGTCTGTTACACCGTTTTGAAGAATGGCTCTTAGAGAATGACTAAAAGTTCAGTAATAATGTATCATAATATTGATAGACATTGATATTTAAGAGGTTATGAAGATACTGAATAAAAATGTGAGATTGGAAAAAAATTTCCCAAATATTATATGATTTTAATAATTATGTATAACTGAAGGACGTAAACATTAAAATGTTTTATTTTATGCTATAAAATTGCACATTCAAATTGGCCAATACCTTGTTCTTAATGGAAAGTTATTATATTTGGTTATAGTCAGTATTTTTTGGAAGTAACATGCTTTACTCAGTTAAGGAAAAAAGCAATTCTGTTTAGTAAAAGCAATGCCACTTAGAAATTTTTCCTTAAAAAGAAACAATATTTTGTTAAGATTATTTAACATTTGATTGACCTTTTTTCACTGAAGATTGGTCTTACATTGAAAACAATTGCTGCCATTATTTCACATAGAAAAAAATATAGGTCTATCTACTGCTTTATATATATATGTATATACACACATACAAACACACACACGTACACAGGCACATAGATTATAGATAAAAATTTTCTCTTTTTTAAAACTAAATTCTACCATATTCCAAAGCAAAACCCAAATGAAATATAGTGTTTCTCATCAAAAGGTGTGGAGAATTTAATGAACAATATTTTAACTGAATCTGATTTTCAAAATGTCTAAGTGATACATATACCTGCATCTCTAGCAGAGTCTACCACAGTGTTATAAGCAGAAGAGTCAAAATTCTGAAGATTCTGTGACCAGCTGGTGAGATTGTTAGCCATCGGGGTGGTGGCCTGTTGGACCTCCATGGTCGTCTTGTTAGCTTCCTCAACAATCAGCTTGGACTGATCCAGGCGCTGCTGAGCATCACCTTCACACAGAGCACAAGGACACGCATTTTGCAGGCAGCAGGACAATTGTTGGAGAACATTAACATCCATTCAATCCATGGGATGAAACAGACTTCAAAGTTGTGATGTTAACCAAAAACTAAGATTTTAAAATATATGTTAATGATGGTATAAATGAAGTGTACAAGAATACTTTAAACAGTTTTAATGAGTTCAAAAGATTACTTTCTCATTAAAACAAAGTAGTTCACTTAAAGAATTTCAAATTAAAAGGTAAATTGAAAAAACAAACAAAAAAAAAAAAAACAAAAAAACAAAATCTGAAAGTATTTCCTTACATTAGAGAGCTGGTGAGAAAGCCATAGAAAATGCATATGAGATCTTAAATTATAGAATGCTTGTGTCTGAAAGTCATCATAAATATCTCTATGGAAAAGTATTCTTGTGGAACACTTTTGTCATTAAGATAACGATGCATTTAGTACAGAACTAAATTAATAAGAAAAGGTATTTTTGCCTAAGAAAAGCGAATTTCAAGAGTAACATTCCACTTTTGTTTTAAAATCATTACATATTTAAAAATAAAAATAACTTCAGTTTACAACAATAAATTTTGCCTAGGTGATGAGATTACAGGTGATTCTTCTTATCAATATTTTCTTATTTTTTTTGTATGTATTACTTCCACAATAAAAATAATTAAAATCACTTAGGTGATGTTGCAGCTTCAAATTTAAAGTGAGGAAACATTTAATTCAGCCTCCCACACTCTGGATTCTGATAAATGTTGGTCTGAACCTTGGATCTTGTTGGAGCAAGTTCCCTAACCCTGACATGCCTCTGAGTTTCTAAATATCTAAATGTAGTAATAATACTTATCCCCAGTGAAATAAGGAATGTGAAACTCTTAGCACAGAACCCTGATTATGGTAAGTATCAATAAACAGCAGCTCTGATGATGTTGAAGATGAAGCTTCTTAATGGACCACCATTCTCCCGGCAGGCCAGAGTTTTGTCTAATAGTACTGCATTACTGCTTCTTTTAGTAAACCACCCATGACCAGCAGTAAGGTCTTAACTTTTGCTATGCTGAGGAAGGCACATCTGCTTCCAATCACATCTTTCTAAAACACTACTGCACCAGATTAGGCAAGATGAGTGCGCTTGTTTCTCTATTTGACTTGTTGATCTTCCTGCTTATATGATAAGAATAATTTGACATATAACAGAGGGAAGCTGTTTACAGATGGGGCCAGAGAAATCCAGCAACCAAATTAGGGCATATTGTTAATGAGGATGAATGTTTGAAAGAAAGCAGGTTACCAAGCAGTATAAATAGCAGACACCGTTAAAAATACATGTGCACACAGGCACACAAGCATGCCAGGAAAATGTTCTCAAATTTAAAGCTCATCTCTGGATGTGGTGATTACAGCTTTTGCATTTATTTATTCTTTTTATTTTCCAGGTCAATTTTTTGGGGGAGGGGGTGTAATGAACATTATTTCTTTTGTCATAAGAAAAAAAATTAAAAGATTGACAAATAAGGAATCACCTAATCCTTTCTCAAAGGTTTCTCTTTTTACCAGTGAACAAACAGAAGAGACTTTTAAATTCTGTGATCCTTACCTCTCTCTGCTGCTTGCAGTCGCTTAACAGCGTCATTTAATCTGTGTTTAAGGGCACTCTTCCTGGCCATGGCCCCGCCCACACGCCTGCTGGTGTCAACTACCGCCTCCTCATTGCCTGGGGAGAAGCAGCAGAAAAAAGTAACCAGTGGGTTCAAGATGACTGGAAAAAGGTTTTATTTCAAGAAGGAAAATCCTGATTTACACCATGGAGTCATCTGCAATATTCTGAATATGCTGGACATAGATCATTACTTTTGGAAAGTGGCATTTAGGATAAGAGGCATAGGATTATATGAAATTTGTAACCCTGGTTGGGAGTGACTTTAGGATGCCATCATGGCTATTATCTTTGGGAAGTATAGCAGTGCTATGCCTGATAACACCTAGAAGCACTCTGATAAAGAGCTGCAAAAAAGGAAATCAATTTATCTATATGATAATGACTGGTTTGGTTATACTTAAGAACATTTTTAAAGTACTTTCAGTAAAATTTTAATTGATTTATAGCATACATCTACAAAAGGGCACACATTATAAATGCACAGGCTGATGAGTCTTCAGGAAGTGAACACAAAATACAGTTAGCACCCATGCCTTGAAAAAAGGGCATTTATCTGCACCCAGGAAGCTCCCTGTGACCCTGTGATGACTGGAAGATGACCACTATTTTGAATTCTACCTCCATTTACTCTTGTCTGGCTTTTAACTCTATTCCAAAGGCATGACAAATCTTTTATATCTTTGATTTATGTAGAGTTAGAATAAGTCTTGATATCTCATAGTTTAAGTTTTCTATCTTTGTTTTCATTCTTCAAGATTATTTTGGCTATTCTTGACAACTGTTTCCTATTTCCATAGAAATTCCAAAATCATACTGTTTACATGCACCCCCCCCCAGTATTTTAATTGGTATTGTATTGCATCTATAGACAAATTTGGCAGAATTGTCAATTTTACAAAGTTGGATCCTCTTTTCAGTGCGTATGGTATTTACTTTTTCTTCTTTAGATGTAAACTTACTTAGATATTCTTTTATTTAGATCTTCTTTAATCTCTTTCCATAGTGTACTATAGCTTTATGTGTAGAGATCTTAGCTAACATCTTTTATGAGATTCTTCCTTAAGTATTTGATGCTACTGTAAATGGTGTTATATTAAAAAGTCAATTTCTATTTATTTATATAAAATTATTCTGACTTTTTTTACACACTGAATTGGCAATGAGGGTATCCTTGTTTTGTTTTCAATCTTAATGGAAATGCCCTTAATATTTTATTATTAATATATTTGTTTATTATTTTGTTATTCCTTATTAGATTATGGCAGTTTACTTCTGTTCTTGGTTTACTCAGAGTTTTTTAAGATCATGAATGAATATTGAGTTTTATTACATGATTTTCTTGCATGTAGTGAGATGATCACATGAATTTTTCCCCATATTTTATAAATATGGTGAAATAAAATTGATGGTTTAAATGTTAAAATATCTGAAATCCTGGAATAAGTTCAAATTGGTCACATAACAATTTCTATATATACTATATTTGATTTGAAAATATCTTGATTAGAATTTTTATATCTGTAAGAGAATTTGGCTTGTATTTTTCCTTTTTTATATGTCCTTGTCAGGTTTTGGTATCTATTTATTGTTGGTATTATAGAATGAGTTAGAAAGAATTTGCTTTTTCTCTATTTTCTGGAAGGGTTTGTGTAAGAGTGGTGTTAATCCTTTAAGTGTTTGAAAGAATCCACTGAGGAGTCTGGAGATTTCTTTTTAAGAAGAATTTAATTACTGATCAAACACATTGTAAATCTCTGTGTACATACAGTTCTATCAGATCTTCTATCCTCAGTCTATCAGTTTTGACAGTCTCTTTCTTACAGAGTTATTCTTGAAAGTGTGCTTGGCACAGTCCCTAAGCTGGGGTTACCTTTGAGCAAATACAACCAGGTCATGATGTAGCATTTCTTTATTTGAACTGAAGGATCAGTTTTC